GCTATCAGCACCCAGGGAGTTGATAAATTGAAACTCAGCCATCATGCACATGACGCAGGCCAGAGGCGGGCTTGCCTGCCTGCCCATTGGAATTTCGTTTATCTGGCGCAAAATCGTTCCTGAGACTAGAAAAAACGTATTATCTAGTTGAAAGTCAGTTAACGTCACCAAACTCTTGAGACGGATTGATCACCACCCAGCCTCCCCGTGCAGTTTCCCAAAATGGGCAACTTTCTTCCTAGTATTAATCCTCAACCATTTTACTGATTTGGCAGCAAATAACTCAATAAGTCATACCACCGCATCCTTGATGCATTTGTGGGGGAGCTGGGTAAACATCTCTTTGATATCGTAGGTGCGAACCATGATCCCAAGACTGTTGTCCCCGCCATGATTCTATCATTTACCTTCTTAATTTCCGGTTGCAAGTCAGTTATGGTCCGAAGATTGAAATGCGGGACTTTTACCAGCCGGATCATTTCATTCAGGGCCATTTACAAAATGCCAGATGCGGTCCTGAATGGGCTCCGATAGGAGGGTATGATGGGTCGCTTCTTACTTTTCTCCTTTTCTTTAGAAAGAATGTAAGCATGTTGAAGTTCCCCTTTGTTGTCCCATTTCTAGAGGTTCGACAACCCCATAGCCCTGTATTCATTCTTCATTCTTTGCAACACAACATTCGAAGCCAAAGAGACTTTTTCATAATTTTGGTTATCAAGAAACATCTTCTGCAATCCAGCAAGGTAAGTTGGTGGGCATTCAATCCATGTCTCGCTGGTATTACGGTCCAACGGCAACAGACCCAAACCATTGAATGCCTGCTTCACCCCATGCACGTATTCACTAAGCACACAACCAACCCCCTTCTTTTCACTGGCCCGTGCAACTAGCTTTTGATTAATGCGAATGGTGTCAGAGACCACACACATATCTCGAAGGCAACTGACCGCCTGATTACATGCTTGGTTCAAACTTTCCCTGACCTTCAATGCACCGGGAAACGGAACATTTTTTGAATTGAACAGAAAGGGATCCACCCTACCAACTTCACTGAGTTTGACCACAACATGCCCGTTGATTTTAGGCAGTTCAAAGTTGGCACAACCGCAGCAGGAGTCGCAGTGCTGTGCAAACAACTTTTGATTATGCAAAATGTCACCAACTGAGTTGGCTTTCAGCCAAACTGCTTTGGTTCTTTTTGCAAACAAATCACCCAGAGCTCTTGGCGAGGCATTTTCCCTAACCCAATTTTTAACAAGGGCCTCAACCTTTGGTTTGTCAATTGTTGTGCAAAAGGGAATCTTTACAGAGATATTCAAACGTGGGTTAATACTAAATTTATTTTTCATAACAGTGGTTATGATCCCACGAATAATCTGCCTCCCTCGCTTTTGATTAACAGTTTTGATACCATTGTTGAGATCAATTAATTCAACTAAACTCAGCTTATACAGATCCCGTCTTTTCCACGGGGCACGAAGAAGTGCAATTAATTCCGCCTTCCTCAGTCCGGTCTTGGTTTTCGTTCGCACAACTTCAGAGATCAGCCATCCGCCACCTTTCTCAATTAGCAGCTTCGCGTCTTTAAGCAACATCTTGTTACCATTGACTTCAATTTCTGAAAAACCAAACAACAGTGCAACCAGTCTCCATGCTTCCAACCATCTCCCCCCTTTATTATTCGATAATAGCACTGGTTCACGTTTCCTGCCTTTGGTTAGCAGTTTGAGGATTCTTAGCAGATCAGGTTCACGGCACACTTCAAGAGAGGGACAATCAAAGAATATGGGCTCGATAATTTCCGATGGTGCAAGTGCGTCTGAGGTTGTAGAATTGTTTCTGGGGCGAGCTCGCCGCCCGTTCTTACTTCTTTTTCCAAACCGCGAGTTCAAACCGGGTTAAAACCCCAGATGACAGTCTGTTCGAGGCACTCTATATCGGCCTGCTCTCCAAACCAAATTGGAATCGGGACATAATTATCCACTCCCACCTTACGGAGCCATACATGAACTTTCTGCTTGCTATCACCCCTCACAACCCTTTTATGCTCAGCCCACCTTTCCCGAATTGTCCGATCGTTTTTTCCTACGTAGATAGCTTTGTGGTTTAGGGACATCGGTACATAGACACAACAGTCCCCATCCAGTACCTTTCCCCATTCCTCCTGCTCCAGTCTGAACCAAAACCTCAAATAGACTTTTCCCCAGGCAAGGTCACCCCTCAAACAGGCAAGCAGGATAATTAGTACGTGGATTCGATCTAACAGCATGCTAGTCTGCCCATCCACAATGCTTTTAAGACGCTGGATTCGGCTCGTCGCTCTTCTGAGGGAACGAAAACTCCCAAGACTCAATTTCCCTTAACAGGATCACCAAAGGCCGAATTCATCTCAATGCTCTCCCCTGCGTTTGCACCATTAGCGCTGGAGGGTTCACCCCCCGAGCGGGGCTTACCACCTTTGAGCATGTCCACATACTCCTGCAGGTCCAATCTGGCCAGCTCCCACACACCCATGTCCTTCCTAAAGTACTGTATGTTCTTCTGTTTACACATCTCCTCCACACGCGTGTAGTGCAGATATGCGTAAAAGTCTTGCCGCATTTTCATGTATGTGGCCAGACCACCCTCGTCGCCTTCGTCCTCCTCTGCATTGATTTCTTGCTGCACCACATCAACATCTTCTTCACTTCAACACCTTCAGACCCCATAGAGGGTTTTTCAACCTTGACATTGGGTTCCACGACTTACGCCTTCCCCTTAGTGTCATTCATCCCTTGCATTAAGGCAGCAAGCATCATCTTGATGTCTGCCAATTTGCTACTACTCTCCATCTTGGCTTGCAGGTTTTGTTTCACTAAATTCGCCCCTTCTTCATCCGAGGAAATCTCAATACGCTTGGATTTCGTCTTACTGCCTCCTCGCGATTGAGACTTCACTCGATTGACACCAGGTAAGTTTCCAGCTGGGGTACTCTGACCAGCTCTCTTTCTCTTCTCATTGCTGGACAGTTCCTTGCTTCCTTTCTCCCCTTTCTCAAAGGCGATCTTTTCTTCACGCGGCTTCTCCAACTCCGCTTTCTCAGCAACCGTCAGCTTCGACTTCTTATCCACTTCCTCAAGTCGGTCGGTAATGAGTGTTAGGGAACTTCCAAGCGTGGAAGTAACCCAAGCCTTCATCTCATCGCTTTTTACTGAAGAGCGAACCTCCGATCTACTCGCCTCGTCTGGTAGTTCGACAATTCGAACACCTGTTGGTCGATCGAGGGATGTTCGACGCCCATTTGCCATTTTCTTCTTCGCGTCTTCGAGCCTTGTGCGTCTTGATCTCCTCGAGTATGTCCATGTATTCTTTTGTGAAGTAAGCACGATTACCAAGTCCAGGGAACGCATTCGCCGCTGGCCCTTTTCCACCGCCACCACCAGATCCGCCAGTCTGGTTAGGTACTGGGTTGCGCATTCGCCGCTGGCCCTTTTCCACCGCCACCACCAGATCCGCCAGTCTGGTTAGGTACTGGGTTGCTGGGCGCCGGGACAACCACAGGCTGGGGCGCAGGAGCAATCCATGGCCCCGTACCCGCCCATTGTCTGGGTGCCGGCCAGGTTTGTAGCCCCCATTGCCCATTCGGAGGAGGAACAACATGTGGCATGGCATGGTACTGCAACGAAGCTGGGGGAATCGAAGGCATCGAAGGTATCGAGGGCATTGAAGGCGTAGACTGCATCGCGGGCATCGCGGCCATGCCTGCAATTGCCTGGGGGGCTACAGCAGGGGCCATCGCCGGCACATGTTGCCCATTATACGGATATCGTTGTGGTGTAACACGAGGAGGGAAAAGATTCCCGACAAGAGTATTTCCACCATACTGCATCGGTGCATTCTGTGGAAGTTATCCACCAACGTTACCAGTACTAGCATTTTCCATCCAGTACCGCCCACAATTCGACCACCTCCCTTGCCGACCGCTCCTTCTGCTGCCGCGTTCGTGCCCAGACATGCGCTCAACAGTGAGGCTAATGGCAATCCCGACGCGGAAACCGATCCCGATAGCCCACTTTGCTTCGTCACTATTGCGACTCCTCCACTCAAGCAAACAGAAGTTCCAGAACATGCAGCCCGCGATCTTCAGTGAGGCAATTCACCAGTTGGTCCGCCGCCAAGCGCCGTAGTATCACCACTCAAGTACCCATGCTACTCAATGAACTCCAAGTGAACGAACTTTCACCCGACACATCACCTGACAAAGAGTACATTCACGAACGCCTACCATCCAGACGCGGTCGTGTGAGACAGAACCTCATAACAGAACAAAAGGTGCTAATTAGCAGTAGGTAGGATAGAGCAACCGATGTCATTAGAGGAACGAGCGGACAAACCAACTTATGTGCTACTACTACATAGTTCTTGAAATTGGCGACTTACGATCCAAAGCCACGAACCGTGTATTGAAAAAATGAATGCACATATGAAACGTGAAAACGTGAAAAATACGAATCTGAACGTGCAAAGACGATCGGCGAATAGAGCAATGGACAATCGCCAAATAAACAAGAATGTGCGTGAACGATAAATACATCGAGTCACGTACAAATTTAAGCATAAAATAGAGAAATATGCGCAATATCACGAGTAACAACCGAGTGAAAACACTAGTGAACAACACCAGTGAGTGCACAAGTGCAATTACGCAAGAAGATCGACACCCTAGCTTCGTTCCCAAGCCACGGCAAGGTCGAAACTAAGGCTCAGTATCATAGAGAAAACACAATGGAAACACTTTGAAAGAAGATGACAAGAACTTTATTCTCATGGCATAATCACCTTCCTCCCCACGTCACCTTAACGCACACTGTTAAGGTTCTCAATCCTTCTACTCTTACGCCACTCAGATTGAGGTAAAAAACTTCTCCTACGTACTTTATTTTATACTCCTATATCAGTCACTTATGTCCCACCAATTCCCAGCAAGGTCCCCTGGTTCATGACCAAGAGGTACCGTGAATAAAAATTAAAATAGAGAAAAACTGAAAAAAAATACCATAAAACGTTAAGCCGACCCTACACTTCTGTTTCGATGTGGCACACACATTGTACCCGCCACTATCTCCAGCGAGGTTGTAACGCGTTGAACAAATACGTGTTTTTAGAGGAGACAACAACCTGTGGCGGGATATCATATCTGTGCCCAGGCCCAGTGCATCCCAATTTTCGTATTTTTTTTACGGCGCGGTGCCTTAGGTAAAGGTCTGAAAGAATAAGCTCGCAAAGGTCGACCTGATACTTGGCAGACCTCAAAAAATATATGCCTCCCAATACGTCACCGCTGGGCATCCAGCTACCACGAGAAATTCAACACGCTGAGCTCATACGTGCTCCGAATGAGACAAAATGACTGTGGCCGGATATCGGATCCGTGACACGGTCCAGACCAACAACACCATCGAGCCTTAAGAACCTCTACCTTGGTCACAGTACGGTTCACTTAATCCCAACGCCTCCAGGATGCTTCGATGAGCAGGTACGTGACAGCCCCCACTAACTTGTCCCATAACGGGGTTTTCATCCTTCGTGACATCCACCGGACCCCTGCTATAACCACTTTACAAGGATAACCGATTTTCCTTAATTCCACAGCAAGCGAAAAAACGCTGCAGCATATCAGACTCTCCGAGTTGGAGTTCTGTGAGATGCGTACCACTGTATTCGCAACAGTGGCGAATTTAGCGTTTCTCGGACCAAACGARCCAAAATCTTTATATGTYCGGAATCTGACGTCACCATCACTCCAAATAGAGCCTGCATTCTTGAATTTGTGGCACATCAATATCCCTGTTTTGCAGACGATAAATCGTGTTTCCAAAAGTCCAAGATCCCACAATCCGTATTGGTGCGTTCGAGCACCAGTTCTAGTGGGTAACACGTGGTCGCAACATCGAGCCTCTCTTGAGCAGCAATCTCCCCCTCTGGTTCTCTTCTGTCAAACAGAGAGATAATCAGCAGATCGTCGATGTAGCGTTTGCCCATAACTAATCGGCTATCAGCACCCAGGGAGTTGATAAATTGAAACTCAGCCATCATGCACATGACGCAGGCCAGAGGCGGGCTTGCCCGCCCGCCCATTGGAATTTCATTTATCTGGCGCAAAATCGTTCCTGAGACTAGAAAAAACGTACTATCTAGTTGAAAGTCAGTTAACGTCACCAAACTCTTGAGATGGATTGATCTCTACCAGCCTCCCCGTGCAGCTTCCCAAAACGGGCAACTTTCTTCCTAGTATTAATCCTCAACCATTTTACTGATTTGGCAGCAAATAACTCAATAAGCCATACCACCGCATCCTTGATGCATTTGTGGGGGATCTGGGTAAACATCTCTTTGATATCGTAGGTGCGAACCACGATCCCAAGACTGTTGTCCCCGGTGTAGGGGCCTTACCCTGAAGGACTTTCGAGCCTAAGTCGACCCCACTGCGGGTCCCATTTGGCTCGACCCGCCCACGCTCATGCTCAGGGCGCGGGTCGTTCACCCCAGGGGCACCCCCACCTAGTTCTTTGAGATGGATGGGGATGGGCCTTTGCGAGAGGGTTTTACATTGGGGGATGTAGCTCCGCTCTCGCGTTTAGATGGTAACTCTTTGACCACTCGTTGGCGTTTGCTCGATTCTTTTGCGTCTGACCAGGCAATCGCTCCTTCCAATATACAGGCAGTCCAGGGAGTTCCTTGAGAGTTCATCTTCTTTTCGTGCGTAGGCCAGGCGTCATCCACTGGGCCACGCACCTTTTCACTACGCCTAGTAGCTCAGAGACTGCCCCTACAGCATCCTCGGGGTTAGGGTAGCGTCGCCCGGACCCCTAGCCGCAACAATTTTGTTTGCTCGAGCCACAAGCATTGTGCTCACTTATCCGTGACTTGCCCTTAGTCTTTCCGGGCTTTGGACTACATGCAACAGAGTCAGCCCATTCAATCATTACACGAAGCATACCCCACCGTCAACCATGCATCCAAACATCCGACCCTCACTCGCTTTCCGCATTCATAGTTAGGCTAGGTCTAGGTCCTTCCCTTGCCCAGTTTTCCATTCAAGCTCGCACCCCCCTTGCTGGCCCGATCCTGCTCAATGCCATCCCCGATACTCACCTGCACAAGACCACACAAGGTGCCGCCCAAATACATTCCCCATTGGGGTCAACACATCGCCCCTTCCCACAAGCCTAGGTTGCCCTTTCCCTTCCGATCCCATTACGTGTTCCTTTCCTTTCCCACAGGCAAGTCATGCAATCACCTTAGTCAACCAGTCGGGGAAGATGGTTGACTCAAAACGACCTCGTCCAAGAACAGCACTCCTTTCCACTTTCACAGATGTTCCCAACAGCCTGGTACCCTTTCCTTCTTGGTGGCACAAGGGACCGACAGTCCTTCCCTTGCCCTCGCTTTCCACCAAGTGAGGACCAAGTTCTTTTCCGTTCGTCCCCTGGCAATGTAACAGCCGAGGGTAGAGGTTAGTCACATGCCATGGAGGGGAAGGAGAGAGGAAGAGGTAAGGGTTAAAGAGTTTGGAGGAATGGGGGAAGAGGGAGAGAGAGAGAGGGAGAGAGAGAGAGAGAGAGAGAGAGAGAGAGAGAGAGAGAGAGAGAGAGAGAGAGAG